ATAATATTGTAAAAGTGATTCGCGGATATTGAAAACGCTATTTCTACATATCCGTTTGTAAAATCTGTGCTTCGTTTGCTCAGCGTCAGCGAGAGTCACATAATTTTTCCGATAAATTTATTATAATCGCCGATACGGTATTGACTTTATATGCGGATACAGAGAAACACATGTAACGAGCGTTTTCATAAAATTACTAAGAGAAACGTACGGATTGTAAAAGTCATAACTTCATTCACCGATCATACATGACATCATTAATATAATAATGTAACGGCGGCAAAAAGAATCATCGTATACGCCAAACGTGGAACAATGATTCATATAAAATTAGTCACAGCAGTTATAAATACACAGAAATATTGTAGCCCGATTTTCGAGTCGCTAAAATATATAATAGGCTTGCGATAAAATGGCAAGTGAGGTCATAGATATATGATGCCCAGATATATTTTATTATACGGTCTAATATTAGAAGACTCGTTTGTTTACAAAGCATCTAGTATCGCTCGACGTAGGCGCCTTTGTTATCGCCGCCTCTTTCGTTCTATAACCGTCCGAAGGGATTCGTGCCGATGATGTACGAGCTGGCTTATGGAGAAAAGCCCTTTTTTCCCCTCGTTACTCCGAAGTGCGCTGCCAAGTTCTATAATAATTCTTTCCCGAATATCATTATTATACCGTCGGGTCTTCGTTACAGTCGATCTCCCGAATTTTACGTGGCTTCGGAATGAACCGAAGAGCGTAACAAAACGGAATGAGAGCTGAAGTGTCAGCGCGCGCACACACACATACACGCTTTTCTCTCACCATTATAACTCGTTGATAGTTACATTTTATGTGAAATAATGAGTTGAAGATAGAAAGAAAGATTGTGAATTTATTTGATAACATGTCAACTTTTAACAATGTTAAGTATTGTCAGACAGTTATACTGTCTCAAAAGTTTTTACCTTTACCTGATAGATACTTTGAAGTTAAATGATCTGCAGACAAGAAAAATCGGACAACAAGGTTTTAAAGAAATCTATTTTCTGAAAAATTAAATTACTTTTATACTGAACTTTGCTACAACGAATCTGGTACAAATTACCAAGTTTATGTTATAGATGTGACATATCTATATTATGTTTACAGACTGTAAGTTAATCATAAGCATAATATTGTAGAAAGTTGTACGATCTGCATTATAATGAATAAATTAAAAAGTGTTTGAAAAAAAAAAAGGAAAATTAGTTTAGCAAGAAACGGGTAGTTTTTAATAAGCTTTCGTCAGAAATTTCCTTTCGAAGAATATCCGCACAGTCTCTGTAGTCAGTTCTTAAAATAGTTTATCGATCTCTTAAATATTTTGTTGGGAAGAATATAGTCAATTCAGAATCGATCGATTGCAGGAGTAAACTATTATCTGCCCTCTGCAAGGAAAGTTTGTAAGCTACAGCAACCACCGGTATATCACTGGATAGTACACGCATGTGATATTATCGTATAATTTCCTGAAAATTTACTTTATCAGAAGCAGAGAGAAGCACGAGACGGCCATCCCGACCTTTTACGTGGACCATTAAAACCCCCCGTACACTAGCGCCAGTACATCCACGCGTTTTCCTTTAATTCAATTTTTTTATGTGTTCCCGTCATGTGTTGTGTAATTTTAATTAACTGACTATCATTAGATTTCTCGTTTCAAAAACTATAAGAAATTATGTCAATTTTATTTTCCCCGTGTGCATCAAAAACAGGCCTTTTCGAAATATCCTCTTTTAATCACGGTTAATTACATTTTACAGTTTTGAAATGGGTACATCCATTTTCTGACATTGTCGATAAAATTATAAATGTCGAAAATGGGTATGATTCGAGTCTATTTTATATTCATAAATAAAATAAGTGCGTGTCCGCGCTACTACAGCTGGCAGGAGAAATACGTTAACGTGTTAATTTGTTAATGTAAAAGGCCCGGATATATGGTCGCTCTCACTGTGTACGTTTATACAAATTTACAGTATAAAAAATACACAATGAATTGCATAGATGCAATGGAAAAGATCAATTCCGTATTTAGAACATGTTTATTAGCTGTATGTTAGCGTGTTAAGACTAAAATTCTATAATATGATTCGTATTTTTAACTTATTTTTATCAATAAATGCACTCGATTATTTTTATTTCTGAGATTTTATAATATATGTAATATAAATTGTCATGTGTCGTGTAACTATGTATGTAACGTGAATTATTGCTAAATGCTATCATTTTAAGCGCGTTCTAAATACGAGAAAATATAATGTTATTGCTTAGACATTGAGCGTATTATTGGCTAAGAAGAGACAAGTGCAATTTTGGAAGAAGATCCGCAATTGAACACAATTATTTGAATGATATTTATGTCTATTTCTATCAATATAGATTAATTTTAATATTGATTTAACAGTTAACTTTTATCTTTTGCTAACTCAAAGAATTGGAAAAAGATAGAGTGAATAATTAAATCGAGATTAATCTATACTGACAGAAATGAACATCAGTATTTAAATATGAATTTATTGTTAATGTCGTGTGCATTATATTGCATTATATTAATATTTCGATTTGAAGAATTCTGTTATTAAACTTTAAGTAATATATATATTATTTCTATATTTACAAAATACATATTTAAGTTTTACACATAATTTTTAATTTCTAATATAGAATAGGACTTTTCTCTTTTCGTTTTTTCTAAAATTCTAATTGAAATAAAAATGTATAAATATATAAGTTTTTCAATTTGTTATCCGTATATTGTGAATAATGACGTGTATTATATAAATGACTGTCAACTTGCAAAATTTGATAAACCTATGAGAATATAATTATTCATTGTCAATTTGTACTTTTGTTGTATCTTTTTATAATCACGTATTTACAAATTCAAACTTTCCTTCATAGTTTCAAACATATAGTTTTCTCGATAGCTATTATCCGTCATTCTGTCTCTGGAAAACGGACACGCCGCGCGTCGACGCGACGAGGTCCGAGTTCATGAGAATCGTAAGGTTTGATAACTTGTAAGAAAATAATCGAGAAAATTTGACAGTTCGAGAGGAGGAGGATGAGGCCTAGGAAAGTGTCGTGGCAGAAACGACACCGTCTCTCTTGGGATTGTAACAGGTGTGATGACCCCGTAAAAACGAGCGCGTCGATCGACGGGGCAGTGATAATAACTCTTTTTGCGCCGCCATCGATATACAACTGCATAATATGCCATTTTTATTTTTGATGCGCCGGATAATTTAGCTATATGACATTGGATGCTGTTAGAGAATAGAGATAGAGTAGTTTAAGAAGATTTGTTTAAGTTTAATATAATGTGACATGTTAATAACTATTAAGAAAGATCAGTATTCTTTTCCTTTTCCAAGTTTCTGTCGAATTAATAATTTTTCACATTTAACATTAAAGCCTACTGCAATGAAAAATATAAATTTTAAATCTTATGCTTGCTTTCTCCTGCAGAGATGTGAATGATCCGCTACTTTCTATTACGTACGTCACTCCCTTATTCTTCCATGGTATTTTCCATGGTTGCTTTTCTTGCGACGTGGCGATTCTTGTTTCTCATTGAACAATAAAGTTCAAGATTTTTTAATACAAAGTAATATTTATATCATGTTTTTAAATATTAAATCAAATAAAAAGTAAGCACGTGAAGATTGAAATTTAATAAAGTATACAAAATATTTCTCTGGCAATTACAAGAGTTACCTGCGAATACACTTTATTTTGTGTTTCATAGAGGACATTGAGTTTATTAAAATCTGCAGTACTTGTAAAATAAAGATGGCAAATTAAAATAATTTAGATAGCTTAAGATTTCTTTCTTTTTTTTTTTTAATTTAATTTAATTTAATTTTTTTTAAGTGTAGCAAAATTAAAATTGTATTTATCACCACGAACTATAAAATCATTATCACACTCCAGAGGTAAAGGATGTAGCCCATGAGTATATTTGTGTTTAAAAAGATATATGATGTATTCGGTTGTAAGAAATAGATCGTTGATTAATTTTACTTGTGATATATATTGAATAATAAATTATTACTTAATTTTTAATTAGTAATACTACATTATACTTGTATTTTTATTCGTATAATCGGAAACTTGCATCAATATTTTTTTCGAGGCAAGACACATTCTCCCTATTCTTCCAAATTCGTTAATTCCTACAACTGCCATAATTTTATATCTGTTTTAATTTTTTAATTTTCTAACAATTCATTATTAAAGAAAAAAAAATTTAAGAATCTGAAATGATTTTAGAATATATATTACTGGAAGGAGAATAGAGTGCTGACGTAAAGCCAACATCTGTGTGAGAGTGAAAGGTATAAATTCTCAATTTCTCAAAACTCAGCCCGTTTTGTCTAATTTCTTATTTTTCAAAAATCTTTAAAAAAAAATAAAAAACAGGGCTAAGTGGGGGCTGAATGGCACATGCGCATTACAGACAATCTATACCTTTTCTCTCGCATAGATGTTGGCTTCAGCTCGATGTATGGGTGGTATAGGTAAGATTCTCCTTCCAGTAATATATGTTCTAACGAAATGATTGACATTTTGTCAAAAAGATAAATAGTGTGAAGTTTATTACGAAACTTCTTAGAACATATGTCTTGAAGTTACCTAAAATAAGAACTACTTATGTGTATAAATCTAAATACTCAAAATGAAAAAATCTAATAATAATTATTTATAATTCCAAATACTCTAAACAAACTCCCTAAACCCCTGACTCCTCTCCTTAAAATGTAAAGTGGACGGTTTTCAGCGTTATTATGTTAAGAATCCAGAAGTAGTAAACTAACAATAAAATAAGTCATGTAACACAGTGGGAAATGGAATTCACATTTAAATCTGGGCATGTATGTACATAACGCATATTTCCAAATGTATATACATTTATATTTTTTTCTATTTTTATATATTTTATTAATAAAGAAGTAAAGAAAAAAACTTACACTTTATCTTCTGTAAGTAGAGATCTTTTCCTTAACATTCATGTTGAATCTCAAAATATACAATATACAGCAGAATACAAATTTATTAATCACTGCAACAAAATGCAAAAATATTTTTAGGTTAGAATATAGTTTCTATTCGTACTGAGGAAAAAGAACATGAAAATTATGAAAAATATATTCAAACAACTTACTCACTGTATAAAAACTGCATTAATCGTATATGATGTCTGAAAAATTAAATCATTTTATAAATTCAATTTTTACGGCATGCAAAGCTGTGCAAAGATATACAGAAACTGGAGGTTAAGAGTGACCGACAATCTACAATACCGGCATTTAACTGTGTCTCCCTCTCCTGGCGGTGCCCACTACTACCTAGCATTCACGCGCTCCGCGGTACAATATCTTTTACGCGACGCGCGTCACTTTGACGCGTCGCCGGGCACAAGAAGGATCGGCTCCGCGATGAACAGCGTCGCGACTCTCGATTAAATTGTATTGAAACCTACATTTTCCGCATTTCGAGCAATAAATGCTGTGTACGCCACATTAACGTACGTATAAACACAAAGTTAAGAGTAGCATGCGGAGCGACGCCGTATCGTAATTGTATCAAACTTGCATTGTAAGTCGCGTAATATAGATTCGACATTCACACTCTGATTCAATCGAATGCGTATTTCGCGATCTCGTTCGACCGAAAATTAAGACGTGTAGCGTCGCAGCGCGCCACTGTCGCCGCCACTGTCGCCGACGCGCCGCGTCACTTTCCCTTTCGGTGAGCCACCGGCACGAGAAAGATCGCCTCCGGAACGTGACGTTGCAATTCATTTAATTGGTAAAGAAATCCATTATAATTTTGAATTTTCCACTTACTATCTAATAATAGATAACAATAACTATCGCAAAATATAAATTTCATGCTTATCGCGAATCTTAAACGATGATACTGATGTCAAAGGCGCGGCATCACGACGGCCGGCGTCGCTACGCGTCTAATTACTCTTATTTTCGCATTTTTCACATTTTAAATATATAACTAATACACGCGCTTATTGCACATTAATAATCGTTATAAGAGGCGCGTATGCATTGGTATTTCGTTCGAACGCGTATTTCGCAATACTCGTTCGGCCGAAAATCAAGCCGTGAAACGTAAATTATGTTGCACCGACGCCGCCGCAGCGGCGCCGCGGCGCTATTGGCGCGCGAGGCTGTCCGCGCGAGACGAAGCCGCTTCACCATTTTAATAGAGTTCCCTTTGCATTTTCAGAACGCGGAACAGATCGGATTGGGAGCAAAGGGCGTCGCGACTGATATAATTGCATGGTAAGTGAAATTTGTATTTGTATTTCTCTAACACGCAATATAATAGAATCATAAAATTATATTCTTATATGAAGTTCTTTTTCGGAAAATTAATAATTATTTGAAAAATATTTAATTGAAAGAGGAAGAGTTTGATGTGCGTAAGAATTATCTTCTAAAATGTTTATAATTTTGAACGCTATTTCAATTTTGATCAGGAGGCCTGATAACCGCAGACGTTCTGAGAGGAGGAGGAGGCCTAGGAGAGGCATCGGGTTTTGGGAGAGTAACCTTGGAGTAAGTACCATTTTTTATCTGCACAAAGTTTAAAGTTCTTGTTTATGTATTTGGATTGTTCTATTAAATAAAACGATTCGAATACAATAAATTACGTTAAATTTAAACGTTAAATAAAACATTAAATTTAAATGATTCGAATACGAAATTGTTGAAGATAGAAAAATCATCTATTCTTGTTTAATTAAAAAAAATAATTATATTAACAAAGACTAATTGATAATTTAATGCGTTTAAAAATGTTTTTTGACATATTGATTATTTTGAGCTCTGTTTCAATTTTAATCAGGAGGACAACCACAAATGTTCTGAGAGGAGGAGGAGGCCTAGGAGAGGCATCGGGCTCCGGCGGAGGAATTTTGGTGTAAGTATCATTTTTTATCTGCATAAAATTAATAGTTTTTTTTTATATATTCGGATCGTTTTATATGAATCTAAAAGTCTGAGTAAATAATAAATGATAAATTACGCAATTGTTAGAGACAAAAAAATTATCTACAAATATAAGTTTTTTTTTGTTTTTTTTCTTCAATCTTTTAAAAAAATAAATAATTATATTAATAAAGACTAATTGAAAGTTCAATACGTTGAAAAATTGCCTTTCACATATTGATTATTTTGAGCGTTGTTTTAATTTGAATCCAATCAATTCCTGATAATTCACGAAACTTAATCAAATCTCTACTGTTCGGTTCAGAACGAAATTAACATAAAATTTTACTTTTACTTGAGCATAACTCTTATACTCTTTGCACAGTAATCACTTTAATTACATTCTCCTCTCATTAATCTCTGACCTATTCAGTAATATCTTAACTATATCTTACAGATATTCCCCACGTCATATCAGAACAACGAGGAAGCTACGTACTCGTCGCCGACTTGATTAAAAATACAAACCGCGTCGCGCGTTTGCTTCGGGAGTGCCGTAAA